CGACAATGCAACTTCATGGCTAGGCCATCTGAGAAGGAAGAATGAAGTATCTCTTCCACCTTATCTTGCTATATTCAGAATGATTTCAAGCAGACTCTTAGTTGTCTGGTGTGTAACCGTATGAAATGTCTATCCTTAATTAATTAGCACGATAAATATTTCTTTTGCAACTAACTCACATTTACGTGCAGAAAGAGACATTCTCCATATGTAATAGATGTCTCCTCCTGATTTACTGTGTTTTTCCTAGCTGTTAATCAGTTTCTTGATGCGTTCCAAACCTCTCGTTCCCAAAGACGGTAACTCGTTCAAATTAGAAACGTCCGATAACCAGCAATCGGCAGGTTTTTCCCCATCAGTTATTGTTTGGGACTCTGTTTTGATTTACGCAACTAGAAGAATGTTTTGAAGATGCTAAACTAAGGGTATAAACAGCACACGCGCTTCAGGAGTGAAAAACCTCTCTGACACGGCTTGCTGATGCGCCCCACTTACTCGAGACGTTGAAGAGAAACAGGCCGCCTCTGTCGACTGTTTGGTAAAAAATCATCACCTTATAGCTAATTATTGGACTTTGATTTGGTTTGGAATCACGTGACTTGTTCTTAAATACTTGTAGTAAATACAGCTTTTCATACTTCCATAATTTCTAGGGTCAGAAGGGACCTGAGCAGATCATCTAGTCTGACCCCCTGCCACGGCAAGAAAGAGTCCTGGGGTCAAACGACCCCGGCAAGGTGTACATCTAGCCTCCTCTTAAAGACCCCCAGGGTAGGAGCCAGCACCGCTTCTCTTGGAAGTCGGTTCCAGATCCTAGCCGCCCTGACCGTGAAGTAGCGCCTCCTGATAGCTAGCCTAAATCTACCCTCTGCCAGCTTGTGACCGTTATTCCTGGTCACTCCTGGCGGTGCTCAGGGGAACAAGGACTTCCCCAGTGCCTGCTGGTCCCCCCCCCGACTAGTTTGTAACAGGCCACTAGATCCCCCCTCAGCCTTCTCTTGTGGACACTGAATAGGTTCAGGTCCCGTAGCCTCTCCTCCTGGGACCTGCCCTGCTGCCCCCTGACCGTGCGAGTGGCCCTCCTCTGGACCCTCTCCGTGTTGTCCACATCCTTCTTGAAGTGCGGCGCCCAGAACTGGACGCGGTACTCCAGCTGCGGCCTGACAGGTGCCGCACAGAGGGGGAGGGTCCCCTCCTTGGACCTGCTTGAGATGCATCTGGGGACCTTTTCTGTCGCTCGTCGAACGAGGTGTCAGGTCAATCCCTGTGCTAGTCCAGAATCCTAGGTTTTTATTTGCTGACGCCCAGATTTTCTCCTCTAAAGGGGAACAGCGTGACATACGGTGGGTTTCTTCTTGCAGGCTGGCAGAGTTGGATCCTGCAAGGCACTCGGGGGAACAGAAGGACGGGTCAGAAAGGGGTGCTATGGGCACGGGAGCACGCACACAGGTTCGCACCTGCCCACAGGAGGGAGAGTGCATCCCAACAGGCAAGTCAGGCGTGGCGGGAGGTGGTGAATGGAGGCCTCCATAAATACGGAGCGAGGGACTTGAGCACAGCTGGGCACCAGCCCCAGCCCTGCCCATGCACGGGGCCTGGCGCGGCAATGCACAGCTACAGGGCCCGGGTGAAGAGCGGGCAGGGGGCTCGACTGCCCGCCAGTGCACGCTCCTTGGGGGGGGGGGGGGGAATGAAGCCTCCGTGGCCCAGTAAGCGAGAGCCGGCACAGCAGGGCAATACAGGGCACAGAAGCTCAGTGCCACCACCGTGACTCCTACACCACCATAGCAAGTTGTCCCCTGCCCACGAGACAGCAGCGGGGGGTGGCAGCACAGACTTCTTCCCCTTGGTGCTGCTGGGTGCCTCACCACGATAGCATGGGACTCGCAGGGGCAGCACCAATCTTCCCTGCCCACCGGGCTCCAGAAACCCAGGGGAAGGGCAACAGGGTGAACTGCCCAAGCCCACAGTGGATAGCGCGCCCACGCTCCCCACCGTCTCTACTCGGGCTGTGCCATCCAGGAAAGCGGGAGCTGCGCTCCACTCCCCACTCAGGCCAAAGCAACTGCCGCCTGACGCATCCAGGACCCCGATCCAGTAACCCTGGCAGCTGGAGGAGGAAGATGTGGCACAGTGGGTGGGAACTGAGGGGTGCTGCCAGGGTCAAAAGGACTGTGCTGAGCAATTGACGGGCAGTGGCAGGTTAGGGGGCCATGGGTGGGGAGTGACGAGTACAGGAATGGCCATGGGGTTGTGCACTAGTAAGATTCCAAGTGGCTTTAACACTGAAAAGATATCAATGAAACAAAGTGTTCGACCAATCCCTATATATGTGGCATGGCCTTTTGATCATGGAAAAAAGGTGGATTTGGGGATTTTTTTTTTCTTCTGAGAAAAGCAGGATCCCTAGTAATAAGTAAAGGAATGGCTACTTACCCAGAATGGTGTATCTTACCCTGCAAAACTGCCCTCACCATAACAGAACTGTAGGCTTGTCTGTCAAAAGACTGAACGGTACCTGGTTCTCCATAATGTACGTCGCTGATTTAAAACACTCTCTACGTCTGTCATGCACAGCTGAAGCCGTATAAAGAAAAGTCATCTCATCAACTCCAAGCAATTCCAGGGCCGAGTAACAAGAGCCACAAATGGGACGCTGGATATGCTGAGATGAGCCAAGGAAATCCAGGCTGAAAGTTAGTGCTACTGGCTAAAAGGTTAAAAAAAAAAACAAAACAACAACATATTCCGCCCCAATTCATACTCTCAGAAAAAATGCATGGCAATTTTGATCTGGAACGATTATACTTAGCAGACCAAAGAGGCCCCTCCGTGCAGAACCACATTCCGTCACCGTTAAAGTACCCGGCGTCCGCTCGAGTCCAAGGTGAGGATTCCTAGGGAGTCCTGAACACTCCTCGCCATTCTTCTGCTACACTACATTACTCCTTCCTCCCAATATTCTGATCCCAGAAGCGGTTCAGTCTGAAACACCACGAGTAGCATGTGAAAGAAGTTGAGATGTATAGGCCAATAATCACATGCAATGCTAATGAGGCAACCTCCAGAAAGAATGGTCCCAGGCCTCGCCTCGGTTTCCCGACTCTCCGCTCTGTTGGCCAAGCGCTCGTGACCTCAGACAAACAGGCTGGAATACACAAAGTTCAACCTGAACTCTATACAACCCCCGTGCAAAGGTAGAGATGTGCAATTCTGGGAACTGGCCTCAAACGTGCAAGATGGATTGCAAGGGGCCGTGGCACCTTCCCACCCGGTACTGCGTATTCTTTGCTTGACATAACTGCTGTCAGCAAAAGTGCCCAACTACTAATATCCCAATGGACCAGCGTGCGTTTTTTGAAGGAGCTTGCTCTGGCTTATCTTTTACTTCTCCAGAGCCATCCCAGGTGTAACATGCATCTGCTTACACGAGGGGTGTGCAAAATACTGCCCACGGGCCAGATCCAACACGTGGAGGGACACTGTCTGTTCCTCCGTCCCACCTGGCCCAGCTGCTGTCCAGCCTGTGGCACACCCTGCCATCCCTGGGAATGCAGCAGGGCTGTGGCTGGACTGCCCTCCTAGGCAGCCTGGACAGCAGTGGCTCCTTCCAGCTGTCACTGCCACTGGCCTCAGCACCGCGGTACTGGCAGGTTCCGGCACGCGCAGCCCCGATCCCGGCCAGAACCTGCGTGCGCAGCCCTGACCCTACTCTGGACTCACCCGCCCACGCTGACCAATGGCACCGGCAGTGGCAGCGGCCAAGCAGAAGCTGCTGCTCGGTGAAAAATAAAAGCTGTTCCTACCCTGCAGCTGGGCCCTTTTTGCTGCAGCCACTCATAGCTTGCGCCCAGGCTGCCCTGCATCTCCGCTGCACCAGCAGTGACGGTGGCAGAGGCGCAGCAGGGCAACCTGGGCGCAGGCTCCAGGTAGCCGCAGCCAGAACAGCCCAGCCCAGCCACTGAGAGAGGGAGGGGCCATTTTTCCTCCACGCCAAGCAGCAGCTTCTGCCCGACCGCTGCCAGTACTCGATGCGGGTGGGTGGTCTTGAGCAGGAGCAATGCGGGCGAGGGGTGGGCCACGAGCTGTGCACACAGGTTGTGACCGGTCCGTTCTGCCTAGGGTGAGTCCAGAGCAGGCGTGGGGCAGGCTGGGATTGTCCACTGTCGGTAGTGGCAGGGATGAGCTGCAGAGCCCGCAAGCTTGGCACGTTTGGGGCACGGGCAGAGGGGCCAATGTTGACCGCCCTGCTGCAACTCCCCAAAACTGCCCGTGTGGCCCGCAACTCCAAATAGTTCCCTGACCCTGGCTTACGCCAACGTCCACCGTATACAGGAGACAACGCTACCACTCTGCACAGCCGAAGGAGGAGGGACGAGGGAACTGAAGCAGATAAACACCTTAAAGCTGAGAGAAGCAAAGAGCAGGGGGCAAGGAAGTATTCTCCCCACCTCCCCTACAACTCTCAAAAGGAAGCTGGTAAAAAGTGGTGCAGGCCTGCTGCAGACAGGGACAGGACAAGGGATTTCATGGGAAGCCTTCAGAGGAAGGATGAGGCTAGGAAACACTGACAGAGGCTGTCCAGCTGGACAAGGTCACAGGGCCTGAATCATGGGCACACAAGGTTCAGTGGCTAACAAGTGCTGAAGCCTGCAGAGATCAAAGTGGTCAACGCCTCGTCCGGGCACAGGGAAGGAGAAGGCAAGCCTGTGGGGTCTGGGCCCCCCGGATCCTGCAAGCCAAAGGGCAGGTCGCTGCTTGTGGAGGGTGCTATCGGCAGTTAGAGGCAAGAGCTGCAGTCACTGGAGGTGTTACCATAGGAGCAGGGCACGTGGATGATGCGCCTCCAGGCAGAAGCCCAAGCAACTGCTGGTGCGTTCTGTCCACTGAGTGTGTTAAAGGCAGAAACGTGTACTTAACTGTTACCCATGGTGCCTGGGATATTTCCAAGTCCCACTTCTGTCACATTGGAGCTCCTCGCTGATACACTGGCCCCTAGGCGCACAAGGGGGAGCCTGCGAGAAAGGGCAGACCCACGTCAGACAGTTTCATTAGCGTGACAACACACGCACCATTAACGGCACCGCAGTGGATGAAATTACCTCCGTGGGCCGACCCAGCACATTTCCATCAAGAGTTATCAAGTCACCACACCAAAATCACCCTTTTCTACACACAGTCCTACAAAAAAGGTTTCCAAATCACCATGCACTTTCCCTCATACAACATAACCATATTTCCATACGCTTACCCAATTGGCGCACAATTTTTCACTGGTCGCACAAAATAGTCCCCAAATCACCCTAAAGTGACCACATTATTTTCTAAAAATCAAAATCACCATATTTCCACAAGCATTTCCTAAATCACCAGTATTCTACACAAAACCCCATATTTCCAAAGAAAGGTCCCATATATCACAAGGTCCTAAATTCCACAAAAATCACATTTCCACCCCTTTCCAGGAAAAAGTTCCCAAAGCATCACAGAACTCTCCCAATACCACATTTCCCTCATTCTTTCCACAAAAGAAACTTCTCTATCACCACATAAAATGACCCACCTCTCACCAGAAAAAGTCACCACACTGCCAGAAAAAAGGTTTGCCCATCAGCACACTAAATGACCAGTTTTCCACACAGAAACCACCACGTGCCCAAACACAGGTACACACACAAAGTTTTCCAACCCCCCCACAACATTTCCCCTCACACAGCACAAGCATATTTCCATAAAGCTACCCAATCACCAGAAAATATTCCACGCGTCCCACAACACACCACTTGCACATTTCCACAAGCAAGCTCCCAAATCCTCACAGAATTCTCCCAATACCACCATATTTCCTGAAACCTTTCCACAAACACATCTCCAAATTACCACAAAATGACCAACCTCCCACCAAAAAAAAATCAACACACTTCCAGGAAAAAAAAAATGGGGGGTTCTCAAATGACCCCACAGAACAAAGTTTTCCACACACAAGCCACCATGTGCCCTCAAAAAAGGTTTCCAAATCCCCACACAACATAACTATATTCCCATGCACACAATTTTCCACAGCTCCCACAAACACCAGTTACACAAACAGTTCCCAAATCACCCTAAAATTACCACACTGTTTTCCACAGGCACAATCACCACATTTCCACAGACATCTCTACAAGCGGTTCCTAAATCACCAGTTTTCCAAGAAACAAGGTCCTTTATCACCACACACAATCACCAGTTTTCCACCAAAACATTTAAAAAAGAAAAAAAAATTCACATTTCCACACAGTCCCAAATAAACACCCCAAATCCCCTCT